GCTCAGTGGAATAAGTGCTTGCCTGGCAAGTGCAAGGTCTTGAGTTCGATCGCTGGTACCACCAAAAAAACCCAAAACAAAACAAAAAACTAAAGGTTATCTATAGGGTGAGTTCAGCTGATGGAAAGTTGAAGCCAATCTAAAAAATTAAACACATGAGAACTAGGGTGCTCTTGAAACTTCACAAATGGAATAGTGATAAAGTATGTAGTGTTGCAGGAAAATTAATGCATTTGTAGCACAGATGTGAGGAGGTAAAGATTTTGGGGAGTTTAGGTTCCTCAAAGACATGTCTGTTTCCAACATTTTCTACATCTCTCCTGCCAGTGTCTCTCTTATACTCCTTTGAGCCTGACAGCTTAGAATGTGGAAATGTTCCTAGGCCCCAGACTGTGTTCAGGGACAAGTGAGACATGAAGGCCTGATCCCCAGTTAACTCTAAGCAGTTATCTAAGGATTGGAGTTTTTATTAACAGACCTTAAATAAGGCATTCTTGTTGCTTGAGAATTCAGGTCTGCTACTGGTAGTCCTGAGTGGCAGACATTGTAGAGATGGGTGCTGGTAGACAAGAAAACCTTGGGTGGAGGAACTTTTCCCAGAGTGTACATGGAATCTGGTCTTTTTCAGAATAAAGCTCTCTAAACTCTGAGCTTGAAAGTTCATACAACTTTCTAAGGCCAATGATGGCCTTAGAAATTTATGTCCCTAACATGATTTCTCAGTGAGGTCCTTCACAGGAACTACATGCTCTGCCCATCCATTTCTCCTGGTGAACTTCAAGGCCATATCATGCACAACCATCACGTCTCTGTTTAGCAACAGACACTTGAAGAAGGGAGATCCCTGAGCAACTACAGCTAACACTTGGGTGACTCTGTCCCCTAGGACACAAGGCTGCATAAAATGGACATCTTGTCCTCCTAATGATTTGAATAGATGCAAAGACAAGTAAGCAAACAATTCTAAGATGTTGAAACATGCTACGAAAGAAATAAAGTGTTCAGAGTAAGAGCAGATAGACTTATCTGTACAAGAGGGAAAGATAAGGGAAGCAGGAGCGACTGAATTGAAACTGTCAGGAACAAGCCTTGTGAAAGTTTGGATTTTAAACTGTAGGGGCTTTAGAAAGATTCAAGAAAAGCCTGTAGAACTTCCTAACTCAAATTAAGACTGGAAATATGCATTTCTCCTTTAAGGAAGATAGTTCTGAAACCAGGTAAGGCCTACTTATTATACAGACAGGAATCATTTTTTAAAAATCCTGACATTAATATCATTTTTGTCTTTGTGAACACTAAAGATCCTTTACTATTTTGTTTTAAATTTAGTTGTTTGTGTAAGTCATGGGCAGATGCATGGTATGAAATCATGGTGCTGGAAATATAGTTATTAGTGTTTAAAAAAACCAACAGTAACCTTCCTTGCTAAATTTTTTTTTTCTTTTTAAAGAGTATTATATCCAAACATTATGAGGCTTACTTCTTTTCTAATACTGATGAGAATGGTGCAAATTGAGATTCATCATTCAAACTATGGTTAAAATAAATAATTCTGATAATTGTCCTAAGTCTGAAACACAATGCAAGAGCTAAATTCTTTTCATAGGAGATAAATGGGGATACTACATTTGGTAATATGAAGGAGTTTGATGAACCATACAGGGCAGAATACTTATAGATGCATGATCATAGGAAGTATTTCAGTATTGCCCCATAACATTGCCCATTGAAAGATGCATCCATGAAGGAAAACAGAATACCAAGTCAGATGCTTCAGTGTCCCAGAAAACCTATACAAAAAGTATAAAAGTGGTCAATGTGGCTGGACCTAGGGGTAGACACCTGTAATTTCAGCTATTCAGGCAGCAGAGGCTGAGGGATTACAAGTTTGAGGGAAGCCTGAGAAATTTAGCAAGGCCATGTTTCCAAATAAAAATCTTTAAAATAACTGGAGATTGTTGTGGGTTCGTAATCAATATAGGAATCCAAGTAGCCAATTAAAATTTGAAGTCTTTTATTAGCTGAGCTCAGCAACCGTCAGCATAGACCTTTGTTTCAGAGTCTAAGTAAACGGTGCCAAGAGAACATGAAGATTATACAGAGAAACAAAGAAAATATGTAATATATCCTGCTTGTCAAACAGAATAAAAATGTATTCTGCCTCTCAGATTAGCATACATCCTGCTTCTCAAACAGATTTTTTTTTCTTGCTATACATCTGGCTACTTTTCTTCCGGTTATTGTTTAGGGTCAGTGCTTTCTCAGGGTATATTCCCTCCTTATGGTTACTTGTTTCACATGTAGGTTTGTTTTTACAACTCTGGGTCAGCTAAAGTTTATCATGGCAATACTTATGCTAAGAGTCTGGGTTTAGGCCATCACAGAGATGTCGCTCCATGATAGAGCAGTATTTGTGGTTCAGTTGTCAGAACCAGAAAACAGTAAGACCTACAAATGGCACAGAACAGTCTTTCGTGCCAGGCCTATGGAAAAATGCCTACAACCAAGACCAACAAGGCTAAGGGAGTACATGGGTGGACTTCTGGCAATATGGGATGGAAGTTCACTGGGAGGAAGCAGAGCCTCCTCTCAAGTTCCCATCCCACAGGGACTAGATGGTCTGCCTCTAACTGGAGCTTTGTCACTATACCTATGTTCTTTGGTCAAGGAAGATTAAGACCTTAAAGGAATTCATGAGCATATGAAGGGCCATTCCTTGTCCAATGTTTTGTTATACCAACTATCCATCTGGATTTAACAGGATGTTTGGCTTGTACTCTTAAACTCTCCAGGGAAATTGAAATCACTGCTCTCTTTCATTCCAATAGCTAATAGAAACCCTAGGAGTACCAGGCATGGTGATAGGTTCCTATAATCCTAGCACTTGGGAGGCTGAGGAAAGAGACTGCCATGTGTTTGAGGCCAGCCTGGGCTACAAAGTGAGTTCAAGGCCAGCTTGAACTGCATAGCGAACTCTATTTCAAAAAGACAAAAAAAAAAAAAAAAGTCTAGTTTTAGTTGAGATTTGATTCTAAGTTCTCTTGTCCTCCCATTCCAGTTAAAAGATTTCTGAGTTTTTCATGATAACCTTGAAGTTCCAAGGTGATGGCAAGGAAAACTCTAGGCCTGGAAATAGACCTACTTTGTTGGTCAATTGGACCAATGTAAGAGCGAAATAACACTGGAGTCACTGTAAAACTGCTATCTGAACAAACTACAATAAGTAACCTGGTTTGTAGTAGAAATCTGGTTGTTTAAGGACATATTTGCGGGAGCTTTGGTACTTATGATTAAGTATGAGCCCAGGTTTTTAAAGTAAATTTTTCTTATTCCTGTAATGAAGTTTTAGACATCTCTTCTTTCAAATTGTGTGCAAATAATATTGTAAGACTATGCAGCTTCTCAGTGGGTAAGTCAGGACTTTCCCAATGAGGCTTCTCACCTGGGCACTACAACTGTTCTACTCATTTTCCTGCCTAAACTTCTTCCCACATGTTCTCTTAGCTTAAGAAGAGCAGCTGGTTCTTCTCTTTACCAGTCCAGACAAATTTTATTTTGCCCTATGCCTTGATGTTTTCTGAGGCATGACTCATAGAAGCCGTGACAGAGGCAGTTATCCAAATCTGCAGAATGGAAAGCATCATGTACCCTATTCCTAACCCAAACCTCAATAAAAATGCCTGCGTATGACATACTGGGGCACAGAGGGAGAAAAGAACTAGCTTTGTAAGCTCTTCAGGGTCTCCAGTTGTCAAGTGCCCAGGGGAAGCTAGATCTCTTTTGAGAGCCAAAGTCCAGATGGAATGAAAAGGAAACTTTTCCTAAACTCAAGAAGTGTAGAGCCAGGGATACAGTTCAGTGACACAGCAGCTGCCTGGCAAGCACAAGGTCCTGAGTTTCCTGGCGCCTGCCCCTCCATAGAAGGCCACCTTCAACTGGCCATATCTAAGCTCTCTACTAAAATAGGCCAGAAACACACAACACCAATGTCTTCATGATTTAAAGTAACATTTATTTCTCATTCCCATAAAGTCCATTATAGAGCTGGGGACTCTTGAAATAGCTGCTCTTCATGTGGGAACTCAGTATTACTAGTTGCTTCACTTTATGGCTACACGGTATGTTTCCATGATTGAGACATGAAAGGAGTCCTGTACCAATGAATAAAAACCTTCAGCCTATAAGTGAGGCTTCTGCCTACAACCTGCTAACAAAACCTGTATCACTGAGGCAAGAAGATTGTTGCAAGTTCCAGACCAGCCTGGGCTACAAAAGGAGTTCAAGGCCAGCCTGAACTGCATAGTGAAGTCCTGTATCAAAAAACAAAAACATCCTAAACCCATGCAAATTTTCCTATGAAGAATTTTATTGTTATCAAAAAAAATAAAATAAAATAAAAGCAAAAACAAAACAAAACAAACAAACAAACAAAAAAACAAAAAACAAAATTTATCTCATGACCCAGTCTTACTGCAAATAGCAAGGAAAAAAATATTTTCCTTTTTACCTCCTTTTCTTCTGTTCACTAGAATACAAACTGCTAAAGAACGTACTTTTGTCTCTTATTTGCTGTGGCTTCAGTATAGTACAGTGGCTGGAAACAACAGACTCTCACATTAACAGAGTCAATATAGTGTCAGCAAGAAGTCCACTTATGTCCTGTGAAAAGAGATACAATCCCAAGATCAAAGGCTGAGAGGTTGCTCTATGTACCAGCATCAGGTAGCCTTGAAAAAAATAAAACCATATAACTTATCAAATAAAATTGCTGAGAACTTCAGACCATTAGTTTAGGTGGTTCCTGTGACAATTTACATGAAGCACCAAAACCAAGGGTCAAATCACCACAGCATAATCACAAGTGTTCCACTCTGGACCAGAACTGCAATACACACACATTTGTTTTTCATTCCAGTCAGCCCACCCAACTTATCATTGGGAAGAAAGGGAAAGGGAGAGAAACACATATTAACTGTGCATCTACTACATGTTGTTTTGGCTTTTTTTTGTACCAGGAATCAAACTCAGGGTCTCACGCTTCCAGGCAGGAACTGTACCACTGAGCTAAGTTTCTGGCCCTGTTCATCTACTATGAACAAGGCCCTGTTTTAGGTGATCTACTTTCATTAATTCATAAATCACCAGAATAAAACTGAGTTAAATGTTAAGACCAGGCCTTGTTTTAGGTGCTCTATTTTCATCAGTCCATCAAATCCCTAGAATAAAACCAAGTTGACTGTTATCTCTATTTTATAAAGAAAATTAATAATTTCAGGACCCAATCAAGAAACAGGAATATTTTGAAACACAACGTTATTTGGCTGGTTGTACAGGCACAACAAGACAAACTGATCCTACTAGTCCTCCCTTCCTATCTAACAGATAAAACTAAGTAGTAGCTAACAGATCACCTAGTAATGGGTTTGTGGGATGTCTACATAACTCTTTGAGCCTTAATTTCATTTATAGATGACTTGGGAGAAACAATTTTTTTTTTTTTTTTTTTTACCTCTTTCCTGGTATACCTACACTCTCAAACTGTAAAACACCTGAGTCATTGTGGTAGTTAAACAGGTAAATTATAAGAAAATCCACATACTGTAGACCATCAGCAATCATAATAAATGTATCACCTGAGATTGCTATAAATACTTTCCTGGATAGAAAAGATAGGTAGACTCAGCTGATCAGCTTTCCCTTTGAGTAAGAAAAAACACAGTTTTTTGATTTGCCTATCTATGCTTAATATCAGCCATCAGTTTCCAAACTTTTCCTTTTGGGAATTCAATCTCCTGGCTAGATGCTCAGTCACGTTAAGTAATCAACAGAATCCTGCACATCCCAGTTTTTATACAAATACAACACTCATCCTTAATGACAAACAAAAGCCAAATTAAAAAGTAAATAAAAATGAAAAGTTGATCGTAAACACTTAAATTTTCTTTCATGCCTTAGTTAAGTCTTAGTATTTATGGCTGCTGTATCTATTGACATTTTGAGATTTAAAAAGTCTAGCTTCTTTTATTGCAGAAAACTGTTTATATCTAATATATAATAATGGCTATAAATTCCAACCCGTTTCTGTATCTCATTAGTGATGTTCCCCATTTCCTAAACATCACCAATGAGACATAAAATAGTGCATTATTAGTACATTTGCCAGATTACCTAGTGGTAAAATAAATTATTTCATAAGAGTAAAAATTATGTTAACAGGATTCAAGAGCTCAAGTTGCTAATAAGTGTAAGAAAGAATTCAAAAGATGTTCAACTTTGTGAACAGTGTTCAAAGACAAAAGAGAGTATCCAATTTAGCTGTTGGAAAATATTCTAGGAATAAATTAATCTCTGCCCAGCAAAGACTATTAAAATAGATAAGCTGTTAAGACAATAGTCTTCAATTAAACATAAACACATTAAGACTGTGCTATAAATATTTCTATCATGATTTTCTAGAGTATGAAGATTAGTGCAAAAGCAACAATATTTACTTCTCACAGAAGACTCATTGACTTCTGCAACTTATAATTAAAATTACTATTTTTCCAAGTAGAATCCTAAAACAGCCTTTGCCTTATTCACAGTGTTGCTAGAACAGTGATGGTGAACCTTTTAGGGCTCTCAATAATAACAAACAGTCCATTCTAGCACATGTGCCATAAGTCGGCCACTACTGTCTTAGAACATTTTGTTGCTAAGGAACTCCCTGACAGCTAAAAGTAAAAACAGAAAGTACTATAGCTAACATATCCTTAACAAACAATCTTTTTTTTTTCCTGTGAAACAATGTATCTATATCCCTAAATTTTCCAATGATGAAAAAACTCTTCATGCTTCATGATTCTGCACATTTGCACTTCACAGGATTCAAGTTCCACTTGTTGAATTGTTTTAGAATGAGGACAGGGGATACACTTCCCTTTATCGGTGGATTTTCTGGTGTCTAAGAAGACTTGATCGCCTGCTGAAGTTTCTCTTGCATACACCACAGCTATAAGGCTGCTCACCTGTGTGGGTTCTTCGGTGTTTAATAAGGTGAGAATTCTGACTGAATTTTTTCCCACATTCATGACATGTAAAGGGCTTCTCTCCTGTGTGAGTCCTTTGATGTGTATGAAGATTTGTATTTTGACTGAAGTTTTTCCCACACCATGAACATTTATATGGTTTTATTCCTTGGTGTGTTGTTAAGTGCTTATTAAGATCTGAACTCCATCTAAACCTCTTATCACACTGCGGACACTTATATGGTTTCTCTTCAGTGTGAATTCTTTGGTGTTTAATAAGGTCAGAGCTAACTCTGAAGCTTTTCCCACATTCCTGGCATTTAAAAGGCTTCTCTCCTGTATGGTCTTTCTTGTGAAGATCCATGAGTTTCAGCAACTCTTGTTTCCATGTTGACAGTTTCTTTCTTTTCTTTACTGGAAGATCTCTGTGGCACTTCCCCACCCTGTGCATATCATTATGGTTTTCTTTGCTTGTTTTTTGCTGAGAAACATTCACTTTGGCCTGTTTTGATACTATGACTCTTGGTGCATGTGTGGCTAAGGCAGAAAGGGATACAGACTGATGATTTTCAGTGTCATTTCTTAGCTTTAACTCTGTAGGGATAAACAGAAGAATCAGCTGTACATATCCCAGAACAACAAAACCACAAGATTGGGAAAGGAAAATTCAACAATGATTAATTTTTTAAAAAGAGAGAGGAAGGCAGGAGTGGTAACAAACACATGTAATCCCAGCTACTTGAGAAGCTGGGTGGAAGAATTACAGATTTGGGGCCAGCCTGGGCAATTTAGCAAGTTTATCTGAAAATAAAAAGTAAACTGGCTGGGGAAGTAACTCAGTGATACAGCACCTGCCTAGCAAGGGCAAGGCCCTGAGTTCAATCCTAATCAATACACACATACTCACACACAACTGCCACCATGAGAGGAACAGAATCTTAAAATGCAAGTCCTTATACAGGTTTGCATCAAAGCACATGCCTCTTCTTCCAACAGTGTAATTACCTGTAAGTGATTCTCTGGGAGTGTCTTTGAAATCCAAGGACCCTTGAACCCATGGCTCTTCCCCTTGTTCTAGACAGGAGATCACTTTAGGTTTGGGGAGCCCAAATAATGCTGTGAAATAAAAATTAGATCAAGGATTATAACTTACCAGTCCTACGAATCTCAGACTATTTAGGAATAAAAGATACTTTTATAGTTTGTTACTCAAATGATGAAATGAATAGATTCTCAGTTTCACTATCATGTTTTTATTACATTGCATTTATGGGTGAACATGCAAAGTACAGAAAAAAAAATATATATATATATATATATATATATATATATATATATATATATATATCAACCCATAGCACATTTCCACTAAGAATAACCCATGTTTGACCAAGGGAGAAAACAAACTTGCAGAGGTTGTAAGAAAGATAGGATGGCCAATAACTCCTAAGAGGATCCATCCTCAATAAGACTAGGTATAACAGAGCCAGTGTTAAGGACAACTTGGGTATTGTACTGGTGGACACACTGTGTCAACTTGAGAAATTTAGAAGTTTAATTAAGTGACTCAACCCAGCCAGGATTCGTAGTTTGTAAACATCCTCATCCTGTGCAAGAGGAAGGCATGGACATCTGTGAGTTCTACACCACCACCTACAGGGTAACTTGTTTATAATATAAGGAGGGGAGAGAAGCTGGCTAGAAGCCTCAGCTGCTGCCCTTCCCTTTGCTTCTTCGCTGTTTTCTGCTGCCATGAACTGCTGCTCTCTGCCATATGCGACTCTGCCTGGGAGCCGCTGAGTATAGACTGAAACCTACACAAACTGTGAGCTAAATAAACCTTTCCTTCCTTAATTTTGGGTGTCAGGTATTTTTGTCCCAGGAATAAGTAAAAACTGAAAGAGAATTTGGTACTAGAGGAGTGGGGTCATTGCTGTGACTATACCTGACAATGTGGATTACAAGCTTTTGGGAATGGCTTACTGGGAAGAGACAGGAAAGGTTTGGAGATGTCACCTACTAGTGAAGAGCTGGAATGCCTTTGGCTCTTCTGTATGGGAGATTCTGGTCAGAGCTCAGAAGCCCAGAATGCTGATAGAAAGCCTGCCTATAAAGACCAGGCGGGGGAGTTTTCTGCTGGGAAGGACTGCATTGGTTGTTGGACTCCAGATGATTTCTGTTTTGGCTTGGCAAAAAAGTTTGTCTGCATTTTGCTCCTGTCCAGAGACTTTGCCTGAGACTAAGATTAAGCACAGTGGACTAGTTATTTTGCAAAAGAAATCTCAAGGCACTTGAATGTTGAGGCAGTGGCATGGCTACTGTTGGGGGCTTTTAGTCAGATACATGTTGAGAGTCAAGAGCAAAGTGCCCAAAAGGATGACTCAAAATGTTGTGAGTTTGGCCAGAAAGGAAGTGTCAGGAAGGCTGTGACTTGCAAAGATAAAGCTGAGATCTCCACTGCCCAGGAGGAACAGGAGAGTAGAAAAGATGTCCTAAGGGTAACATAGGAGGTGGCAGGTTCTCACCCTTTGCAGTCTCAGAATCACAAGGGTGACAGACTTTGCTTTGAGGAGAAAACTGAAGAAACTCATGTTCCAGAATGGAGGCAGTGGCCACACCAGATTTCAGAATGGCACCAGCATAGAGAATTTGTTCCTCAGAATCAGGTTCAGAGTGCTCAGCAATCCAGGCACTGAACCCCTATGGCCAAGAGAAAAGAAAGCCTGGCTACTGCTCCAGCTGGCAGCAGATCTTGGCATCATCCACATGGCACTGTTTTTAGGTGCATTCTGAATGCAGGAGTTCTGAGGTTAAGAAGACTTCCACTTAGATTTCAGAAGTTCTGTGAAGCCAGGTAGTGTGCCCATAGGAGAGCAGTGTGTGCAGCAGAGAGTGAAAAGCCTATTCTGTAGAAGCCCCAGAAGTTTGAAAAAGCCAGGAACCTGTATTGTGTGAGAAAATACGAAGAGGGAGCAAAGCCAGCCCCAGAGAAAAGCCATGGGAGCTACCAGCAGAAATGCCATTGGGGTGGAGCCATGTAAGGCTTTTGAAGCTCACAACTTGTTACAAGTTGCTTAGGATGTTCCATATGGAACTACAGGACTTACTGTTTGCCCTTCTGGATTTTGAACTTGTTTTGATCCCAATGGTTTGTATCCTACTGTGTATACCTTTTGTAATGGTGATGTTTATCTTGTGCCTTTGAATGTTGTAACTGTTTAACTTTTCATTTGCACAGGGGCTCACAGCTAAGAGTTTGCCTTAGATTTTGGGACTTGGGACTTTTTAGCAATGCTGAAACTGTTAGGACTTTGTCAACTCTTGCAGATAGACTAAGTGCCTTTTGCATAAAGGGATGTGCATAAGTCTTTGAGGGGGCAGTGGCAAAATGTCATGGTTCTAATGTAATACAATGTTCAAGTTGTAAAATGTGAATAAGCATGTCTATGTACCTGGAAACTGGGGGGTTTTTTGCCTAAATTTTTTTTTTTTTTCCCAGATCCGGGGATTGAACTCAGGCCCTTGTGCTTGCCAGGGAAGTGCTTATTCCACTGAGCCATCTCCCCCCCTGGAAACTGGTTTAAGGAAATGTCTGGTTGCCAAGTTGACAAGGGGTGAACTGTACTGGTTAATATATTGCATCAACTTGAGAAGATTAGAAGTTTAAGTGACTCAGCAGAGAGCCAAGATTGTTAGTTTGTACACATCCTCATCCTGTGCAAGAGGAGTACATGGACATTGTATGAGTTCTACACCCCCAGCCCCAGGATTTCTCATAACTCAATTTCACATCCAACTAGAGGAATCCAGGAATAGGCAGATCCTTTCTGAATAGGCTGCCCAGTGTGGCATGTATCTGTCACTCATTGTTTCAATAAAAATTTATTGGAGCCAAGGATATAACTCAGTAGTAGATCACATGCTAGTAGATCTAGCAAGCAAGAGGTCCTGGGTTCAATACTATTAATTAATACTGAGTAGGTTGTACTAGGCACTGCTCTACGGGCTGGGATACAGTTGTAAAGAAGTCCCAGTCCCCTGATTTCATGAAGTTCTATTGGTATAGTCAATTTACCAATGAACAAAATAACTTCAGGAAATTATTTTGAAGAAAATTAAAGATAGGGCCGGGGAAATGGCTTAGTGGAATAAGCGCTTCCCTGGCAAGCGCAAGGGCCTGAGTTCAATCCCCGGTTCCGCAAAAAAAAAAAAAAAAAAGACTAGAAAATTAAAGATAGTAAAAATAATTCTAAGATTTTAATCTTGAAAGCCTATTTTATTTATTTTATTTTTTTTAAAGGCAACTCTTTTGTGTTAATGATTTTTTAAAAAATATTTATTTATTTAGTGTGTGTGTGGCCAGCTCAGCCCACCAAGGGGCGGGGCTGGCTGGCTGGCATGTGGTGCTGGGGATTGAACCGCGGTCCCTGTGCTTTGTTTAGCTTAGCTTGTTCTAAGTAGGTGCTTTAGACCACTGCACCATCTCACCAGCCCCGAAAGCCTATTTTAAATGAGGCTGTATAGAAGTCTTTTTTGAGAAAAACAGTATTTGGGAGGAAACTTAAAAATGAGTTTTCTACTATGTGGCAAAGAAAGAGTACTGGTCAGAGGGAAAAAAAAGTAAAAAGAGCACATTAGTGTCAAGAAACAGCAAGAAAACCAATGTGGCTACCGAAGAGTGAACAGGGGCACAAAAAAGCATAACACAAGGCCATATCAAGTAGGGTCATAAAGTAAGGAATCTAAATTTTATTTTGAATTTAAGAAATTACTGCAGGAAAGTGTTTGGTTTTTTAAAAAAATGTATTTGGTACAGGGTCTCACTATGCAGCTCTAATTTATAATAATCCTCCTGTTTTCAGCCTCCCAAGTGCTGGGACTACAGGTGTGGGCCACCACACTGGGTCTTTGTTCTTGGTGGCACCCCAGCGCACACGGGGATAGGGCCAGTGTGGCATGTTGTGCCAGAAATCGAATCCCAGTCCCTGCGCAAGGTTTTCTTTTAAATTTCTGGTTGCTCTACAGTAAGCAGACTAAGAAGAGTACAGGCAAAGTGTCAGAAAGCTAACTAGTTATGGATGATGCCAGCTTATACTACGAAGCTAACAGTTCACAGAAATGTTATTGCTAGACTCAAGATATATGGGAAAGTGGAGTTTAAAAAAGATGCTAATTAGTTACTAATGGGATAAGAAGGTGAGACTAAAGGATGTTCATACATTTTCTGCCCTGAGCAATTGGGTTGCTAATGGGTTACTAATGGACTATAACAGTGAGATTAAAGAATGCTTATACACTTTCTGCTCTGAGCAACTGGGTAGTGGTGGTGGCTTTACTGAGTAAAGACACAGAAGAACAGATTTGGAGGAAGAGGAATGGATGATAATTTCCTGTAGGATAAGAAATAACTTATATTTGGAAAAAACAAAAAAGAAAAAAATAGGTGATCTGGATATCCATTTCCCCTTCCCTATACCAGTGAGCTAGAGCCAATCAGTTACAAAAAGCATGAGGCTCACAAGATTTCATTCCCAGTAAGTCAAGAATGCAACATGTGACCCAACTTCTACACAAAGGGTGGGAAGCTAGGCACTGCAGTGCATGCTTATAATCCTATCACTCAGGAGGCTGATTAAAGAGGATTACCATGACTTCTAGGCCAACCTGGCTTACATAGTTGAGTTTAAGACCAGCCTGAAATACATAGCAAGACCCTGTCTCAAAAAAGCAAAAAAAAAAAAAAAAACCACAAAAAAACCCATAATAAAACAAAACAAAAAATCAGAAAACAAAGGCAGGGAGAATAATTACCTATAGAGATGACATTCTTATAATTCTCCTGCATTACATCATTGTAGAGAGCCTTCTGAGTGGTATCCAGTAACTCCCATTCTTCCTGGGAAAAATACATGGCCACTTCTTCAAATGTCAACAAACTCTGAGAAAGAGAATGGACTTAGTTTGGGACCTACCACTAGAGTCAGCTTAATCACCTGGCTAAGAACTATAGAATAGGCCAAGCACTACAATAAATTTTTTTTATTTTTTTGAGACAGGGTCTCACTGTGTAGTTCAGGCTAACCTTGAACTCACTATGTAGCCCACACTGGCCTCCAACTCTCAGCAATTCATCTGCCTCAGCCTTCCAAGTGCTGGGATTACAGGCATGCACCACCATGCCCAGCCCTAAAACAATCAATAGCACATGATTATAGACATTCTCCATGTAAGGATATTTTAGTTGATGATGGGACACATAAAATAGTGGTTCCACCAGATTGTAATGGAGCTCGAAAATTTTATTATTTAGTGACATCATAGCATAATGTGTTTCTCCTGTTTGTGGTGATGCTGATGTGCAAAAGTGTAGTACAATACTATACATAGTACTTAATAAACTTACTGGTTTATGTATTTATTGCATCATACTTTAATTATTTTAAAATATATTTCTGCTTATAACAAAAATTTATTATAGAATGCTATGTCCATTTTATGACAGTAGCAACCACATACACTCTGTCTCTAGACTGTATTAAGAAATTGCAAATTAAAAAAGGGACCTCAAGTGACTGACAGGATCTAGGTTTAAGCACTATCTACGTTTATACAATGACAAAATAGCTAATGATTTCTTTTCAGGAAGTATTCCCATCATTAAAAATACATAACTGTATTTTAAAAAGTGAGAGACAGAAAGGCCTTAAGGAATCAACATAGAACCTAGGAGGAACCCAGTTCCCCAGGACAGAACAAGTAAGTCTAACATGCCTCAGGGCTTGCTTTAGGTAGTATGAATCATAGCCAGTGGAAAAAGCTCTAACGTAGAAAATACAGCTCACCTGGGACTCAGGAAAGATGAGCTCAGGTGTCACTGTCCAGTCTTTGGTAGTTGTCTGCTCAGGAAACGATAGAATCTGTTGAGCTGGCTCATCTGTTGGTGGAAAAGAGCCAGAGGAAACTGCTCATTTCTAATAACATCCTGAACTCATTTCTAAAATGCAGATTCTGATTTAGTCAGTAGAGATGGGACACCTTTACAAGTGTGTGTCATGTCAGAAGTGACTTTGTCACAAAAAAGAACGAAGTATTCACAAGCTCATAGAACCAGTTTCCCAGTTGACAGTTTCCTTAGTCGTCATGAGAAATAAAATCCGTTTTTATTTTTCTCATAAATAAAGACTATAAACTCTTTTGAGTCAGGCAAAAAATTAGTTATTATTTTTTCTGCCACTACTAGCCCAGTTCTTTTTTCAAACAGCCCATTTCTGACTCAAGTCATTCTTTATTTTATGGCGAAGCTGTCCCCAAACTTCCTTTTTCTCCTTTCTCCTTTTCGAAAGAAGGGAGTTCATGATAGTATTATCAAGGTTCTGTGGTCTCAATGTTTCTACATCATAAGCCAATGCCCATCTTCACTTATAGTTGGTACACTCTATTACTGCCCGAGGGAACATCATAACTGCCATCAGGGCTGCTTTTACAAATCCAGAGCTATACAGAAAATGCCAAACAAATCATATCTTGGCTAAATAAATTACAGTTGCAGTTTCCAGAAGAAAAATTACCCATCCTAAAAGCTCCTTACCAGTCTTATATACAGGCTCAGTTTCCTTATGAGTACTCTTGTTCAGCCATTGTTGTTGTCCCCTGTATGTATTCCAAAATTCTTTATCCTGAAATATGCCCTCTGTTTGGGACTGTACTGGATTAAGCTTGAAACCTGGAGCCTCTGCTGTTTCTTCCAATGCTTCCTTTCCAAGCTCATGAGCTGTAACCTAGAAATAATCCCCATCCTTATTACCACAGAACTTGCTTTGGGAAGGTATAAGCAGGAGGAACACATTTACACCTCAAACTGTAGGAAGTATGAGACTAATAATGACAAAAGAACTTCAAGAGATGTTGGCCTTATCTTTCATAGTAGGTCTGTTCTCACTCTGCAAAGTGTACTTTCTTCCTATTTTTAGTTTGCCTGAACTCGCTTTACAGAGCATGTTTTTTTTCTTACTTTAGTAAATGTAAAACCTCACTACTATGAGAAAGAAAGGGGGAAAGAGGGAGGGAGGGAAACTATCCACAAATCTAGGAAAATTTAGATAAAATTTATTTTTTAAAACCTCTGGCTATTGCCATCCTTCCAACATAGAAAGTCACATCTGTATTCAGAGTTCAATCCAAGCCACTACCAGTGTTGGGCAAGTTACCCACTGTATTATACAGTGATCCCTCACTTATTGTGGTTACGCTCCAGACATCCCCGTGATAAGTGAAAAGCAACCAAGTAGTAATATTTATTTCAGTATTTTATATGTTTTGAGGCTTTATAAACCTTTCCCACACTTTTATTTTATTTATTATTTTTAATGTATTTGGTTGTTACAGGGTCTCACTACACAGCTTGGACTCAGTGATCCTCCTGTTTTCAGCCTCCCCAGCACTGGGATTATAGGTGTGTAGGTCTCTGGCTGGCTCAGCCTGCCCTGGGGGCGGGGATGGTGCAGCATGGGGTGCCGGGTTCCTGAGCTTGCCTAAGCAGGTGCTTTAGTCTGCTGAATTATCTCACTCTCCCACCACCTTTAAAAACACTTCCAGTGTTCTTAACCATTTTTTAAACTTGTAAACCTACATAATTTTAACATATATATACTGTATAACACTGCAAAATCCCATCATATAGCAAAAAATCCATAATAAATAATTAGTATTTTTTGAAAACCTGTGAAACAGTGAGTCCACAAAACTCAAAATGTGAAATAGCAAGGGACTACTGTATTGATTGCCTTGTGTGGCCTTTTCCCTTGATATAAATCCTTTCATTAATAGTTTTCTATTCTGTCATCTTCTCTTAAAAAAAAATTAAGATATGTAATAAAAATTTTCCTTTTATCAATAAAATTTTGAAAAAAAAATTTCCTGTCAGCAAGATCATTATATATCTTATCTCATTAGTCAAGACATCATTGGCTCCAAAGGCAAAATTCAATTCTTTTTCTCTCAAGCAAGAGAAATCTCTGCCATGATCTCTGGAACTGGCAGAACTTTTCTTGTGTCCTTAAGGTTTCAAATCCCACCTTAACTATCTTAAAGGAACAAAAGAAGTGACCTAATTTATCACTTTTCAAATAATTGCTCCCACCCCCATTATATCCACCTTCATTCTATTTCACTATACATTTCAGTACTCTTTCTTCTCACCCCATTCCTCCTTTGACCAGATTTCCTCTGCAAGTGTTCTACCAGTGCCACAGCCTCCTCGATGCTTTGTGGATGGTGCTTCTGCAACTGGGTCTGTGTCTCCGTCGGCAGGATGGTCAGGAACTGTTCTAGTACCAGAAGTTCCAAGATTTGCTCTTTTGAGTGGATCTCAGGTCTGAGCCACAGATTACATAATTCCTGAAGTTGGCTGACAGCCTCACGGGGTCCAGCTGCTTTGTGATAATAGAAGTTCCGGAAGTACCAGCAGGAGCTCTTTGGATCAAGACTGTCTGTTTGTGGACATTTTGTATTTTGACTAGAGCCTTCTGCCACAGGTTCCTTAGTTTCCCACAGAGCCCTGATCTGAGGGTCCAAATGCTCAACCACCTTCAGATCAACCATCATTGTTCTGCTCTAGCAAGTTTTGCTCCTGTGTCTGACACCTCACTGGTGCCTCTTTTGACAAGTGAGATACTAACTGGTCTGGTACAAAATAAAAGTATCTTCTTCCTAAGGGCCAGGTAGGAAAAAAGTTCATATCAGCAAGAAATTCACATGAGCCTCACATTTATTGTTTATTATGGGAGAAAGGATCTTGTCTTGCTTTGCCTTTAAGATCAACTGCCAAGCCTCTTCTCCTTTTATAGCACTCAAAGTTCAACACAGCTCAGAGAAGACAAAAGTCAACTGATGACACTGCTTTTTTTTTTTTTTTTTTTTTTTAACAACTCAGAAAAGATTGGTAGTTGGGAAATTGGTAACTTCTGTACCTGAAAGGAGTTTCGTAAATATCCAGACTTAATTGGTGTGCTTCCTATCCTATTTTTCCTATAAGGGAAGAATAACAAGGAAATAGATCATTGTGCTGGAGGACAACTTCTATAAGACTTCTGCATATAAAGATATAGTACTTCTCAGCATGGTGTGGTGGTACACAACTGTCATTTCAGCTCCTGGAAGGCTAAAATGGGAGGACAGCCATAAGTTCAAGGCCAAGCCGTATTATATAGTGAGACTTGTCCCAAAAATACCAAAAAACAAAAAAAAGAACGTTCTACTTATGGAATATTTGATATGTACCTGTCTATTCTATGAACAGTGGCTGGAGAGCGAAGATGGTGAAACCAAAGAGGGAGGTAAATAATTAGGGAGAAAGTAGCCACGTTTTTCTCAAAGAGCATCTCCTTACTAAAAAAACTAGGGCTCATCACTCTGCAGATTTACACACAATTTTAAATTTATCTGATCTAGGGCAAAAAAATCACAGCTGTTTGTTTATATGATGTCGAGTTTTGTTTTTTTAAATGAGAATAGGAAGTTATTTTGGGTTTTATCACACACACACACACACACACACACACACACACACACACGGTATCAAACAGAGGGCCTTGCCTCTCGGCTGCACTGCCAAAAGGGAGCTAGTGGTGGTTAAAGTGATCCTTCTGCCTATTCTGTATTTCTTCAAAGGTCTTTTAGACCTGTAAGTGAGGCTAATTAGAGTTTTGTAAGCCTCAAGCTCCTTGATATGAACTAAAAGCTACAGAGGACGGCACAAATATTGAAAGAAATGGCACGCTCTTTTTTGCCCTTTCCACTCTGGAGGCCACGGGGAGTCTTCCTGTTTTTGCATCAGCAGAACCTGCTACTTTTGTGCATGTGGGGGTTGGACCCAGGCCTCTACACGCCCGGCAAACGTTCTACCTCTGGGCTTCATCCGCAGCCTCAGGAGCTGCACTGATCCCTCCTCCCGTGGCAACGCTGGCCGGCGACTAGAAGGTCAGTGAGGACGGGAAAGTTTCTCTGGGTACAGCGGCAGACGCTGTGACGCCCTCAAGGACACGGTGCCAGCGGGCAGGGTCTGAGCGAGCGCCCGTCGCGGCCACGGGCTGAACTTGCACAAATGGTACAGAGCATGGCTTCTGGAGCTGGAGGAAGGCCTCGCTCCAGTCGGTCAAGCTTCAGACTCGGACTGCCTCCCGTCGCCCGCCCGCCACGAGATGCCGCCGAAGGGAAGCAGCTTCTCAGTTACCTCAGATAGCTCGACTCCTACAAACGCCACTTCCTGCTTTCTCGAGCTCAGTTGTGAGCCGCTGCCCGGCTAGACGCCGCTCGGACGAGAGCAGCTCTCGACCTGAGCCATTCTAAGTCCGGCCAGCGAGTGGAGCCCGCGGCTTGGTGGCACAAGCTCTCACTCCGACAGTCCACTATTTGGATCCGCGACGCACCCACCCCCAGCTAGTCCTTCGAAGCCTGGGGCTCGCGCGCGGATGCAAAGCGGAAGTGACGCGCCCTTGGCCTTCGCGCGGTCCCGCCCCTTGCTGTAGCTGAGAAGCCAATGCGACTGCGCCTCGGCCCTGCGCGCCCTTCCTGCTGGGAACAGCAGCCCGCTCCAAGGGCAGATGAGTTAACCCTACCAAGCGTGCGGCCCCGCCACTTGGCGTCACGGTCTGTTGTTTCACTCTAGTCAGACCTTGGACAGGTAAGGCTGCCGCTTCTTGCAAGCTCAGCACTGTGCACCTCTCCAGCGTTTGCTCAGCTGACGTGGTGAGGATCCTTGCAGCCTCATGGAGAAAGAAACTATGTGGTGCCCAGCTTGATCGAGAAGGACGACCTCTGAGACTTTTGTGCGCGTTCTGCTTTGCCTGGTGCGTTCCTCACAACCTGTTTCCTAGGAGGTAGGTTTTAACTTGTGAAATAGTTTCCATTTGTATTTTTCCTTAATACAGAAATTGACACCTGGGAAATGACTTGCCCAGGAACATACAAATTATAATTTATTTTTATTTTATTTTATTTATTAGAGAGAGAGAGTGGTGTGTGTGTGTGGCCAGCTCAGCCCACCAGGGGGCGGGGCTGGCTGGCATGTGGTGCTGGGGGATTGAACCGGATGCTTTGCCAAGCTTGTTCTAAGTAGGTGCCTTAGACCACTGAGCCATCTCTCCAGCCCCAAGGAACATACAAATTACCACTGCCAATAAATAAATAAATAAATAAAATAAAAAATTACCAGTGCCCCTGCTAAACTGGAATGTAGGGCTTCTGTTACCGTTCCTAAAACTAGTCACCTGAGTGAAGTAGGCATTCCATAAATATGTACTGAACTATATATATGAATCTTAGCGTTTTGGGTTTTGGTGACATCCAAATTTTCTTAATGTCAATTTATCTCAGCCTAGAGATTATTAATTAAATGTACTTTGTGCTTTTGTACCTAAAGGTCTGAAGCAATTTCATAAATAACACGGAGTAGTAAAAAGTAGGATGGGTAAGGGAGATAGTTCAGTGGCATAAGCGCTTGGCAAATGCAAGGTCCCAAGTTCAATTCCCAGTACAGCAAAAACAAACAAACAAACAAAACCCCCCCAAAACAGGCAGCAGAATGTGGAGATAGATGCCAGGCAGAAGGAAGAGTAAGAACATAGATTTTTGAAGGGCTGGCAAGATAGCTCAGTGGACTAAGCACCTGCTTAAGCAAGCACAGGGCCCAGGGTTCGGTGGCTGGCCCCACCTCCACTCCCACCCACCCCACCCTACCCAGGTCCACTGAACCAACCTGAGACTGGGCATGGTGGCACACACTGGGGAGACTGCAAACAGTAGGATCACTGTGAGTCCAAGCTGCATAGTGAGACCCATACCAAATACAAACAACAACGACATAGTTTTGAACTCAAGTAGTACATTTTTACACATTTGGACTGCATTGAAAGAGTTTAAGAGGTTAAAAAATCAGCTTGCCTGGATATTGTCCTCGAGAAAACTATTTAAGATAGTAACACTGAGAGCACCATTTGAGGGTTCTGGATGGAACTTTTTTCTAGGGCAGTTGTTAGATAAATTTAAGGTGAAAATGACATGAAAAAACGATGCTACTTTTGCTTTGGGACAAAAATTATACTTCTCTGAGGCATAGATCTTAATCTTTATTTTTATTTTTTAGAAATAATATTTAATCTATACTATGTAAGTAGGGAGAAGGAAAAGGGGGAGGTGAGAAGCAAGGGCACAGTCCCTTTGAGCGTGATGGGTGAGAGTAGGGATCAGGAATACAAAACACAAGAAGGCCAGGGCAGGGCAAGCAGGTGGTTAGTATAAGAGGAGAAATCAGCTCATCCCCAAAAGCCTAGGGCAATAGAAAGGCAGGCAGGCAGATAGTTGTGAAGCAGGCAGCTTTTATTTGGACCACAGGTGGTTTCCCCAAGAGGGTGCACCATTCCTGGAGATACTGCAATACCAGGTCCATGCATGTAGTGGACGAAGCAAGTTCCTATTCCATCTCCCAACTCCAAAAGTGAGAGTAAAGACAATAATAACAAGAATTTGCTTGAGTCGCTTGAATGTATGTCAAAAACAATTCATTTCCTTAGAATCTCAGTCAGGTTGGTACTCATTGTTTTTAAGTGACTGCTGTTCGCAGTCTCAGAACCAGTGCGCAGTAATGCCACTATCTTGAGATACTCGTCACCCTACTATGCTGAACTTATTTACAGTTAATTCATTAAACTGAAGTTCTGTTAGCAGTGCCAAGGACTGCCCTTAGCACACTTGAATATAACATAGGAAGTAAGTTGGTCAAAGGGAGAAGGAAGGAAAGAAACCCTTGAAAGAAGCCAAGCACGAGCAACGAACCACTGATGATTTTTACTGTGAGGTTTGGTGCCAGTTCTTACACTTCCCTGTGGAGCTCACTAAAGTTGCCCAAGTCTTTCTTTTAGATTCACCTCTCCCTGTTTGGCATATTTTAGAAGTGATGAACATACAGCTAGGAAACAATGAAAGCAAATATATTGAGTTAATTCTGAGACACCCACACAACTGCCACAAAAGACTAAATACTTTTGCTGAATAACTAGTTAATGGTGCTGTTACTGGCTAATAAGTACTGTTTTCTCTTTTTTTCCTGTATATAGGATGGGGTCTACAGGGTCTCACTACATAGATTGCACTTGTAGTGATTCTCCTGTTTTCAGCCTCCCAAGTGCTGTGATTACAGGTGCATACCACCACGCCATCTCAACTGCCGTCTCAGCGCACGCTGGGAACTGAACCCCAGCCGCTGCGCTCTACTAAAGCAGGCACTGTAGTCTGCTGAGCTATCAGGTCAGCCCTTTGTTTTCTCTTTTTCCTTATAATAGTTACTATTTAGTAATTGATTTAGATATACCTGCCTCTTTTAGAAAGTTTCTTAGCCTGTCATTGGCTCCGCATTGGCTCTACATACTGTATTACATTATTTCACGATCCCTTATTGCTCCATCACTCAGTGCTCTAACTCTGCTGCATTTTTAGATGAGAGACTGGATAGAATTCTGTGTTCTGTAGTTGGGAAATGAATGTGATACTCAAGCTCTGACCTAAAGAAGAAGAATTAACTGAGATAACCAAGCATTTTCCTCTTTCCTCTGACATATTTTTCTTTCTGCATAGTACCTGGAATGGATAAAAATGCCAGTTGTGGGGCTGGTGAGATGGCTCAGTGGTCTAAGGCACCTACTTAGAACAAGCTGAGCTAAGCAAAACACAGAGACCGTGGTTCAATCCCCCAGCACCACATGCCAGCCAGCCCCGCCCCCTGGTGGGCTGAGCTGGCCACACACACACAAAATAAATAAATAAATAATCTTAAAAAAAAAAAAAAAATGCCAGTTGTTTCTTTCCATGAAATTGTGTACCTGAAATGAAAACCATGAAATTAATCTAGAGTAGTATATTTCTAAAGACCTGGAATGGCTTTAGGAAGCACCAGCAGGACCTGTAAGAAATATTTGAGGGTACAAAATTACAGAAAAGTTTGCCAGCAGAAGGACTTAATGGGAAACAAATGAACAGAAATATGAATAGAATAAATGAAGTTACGAATTTTTACAGGCAGTTGAGTCTTGGTTCAAATTAAATAAAATCTGCCCTCAAGAGAAATCAAAGTTTCATACAAGTATGAGAAGTATGTTATTTGGAATGCTGCTGTAAATTTAGGAAAACAAAAGGACAGATCTTTTTCATTGTGCCAAAATATTTGTAAAACTTTGAGGCTTATCTCTAAGGAACTGCCAGGAGTCTGAAACTTGATAATATCCTAATTTAGAATAATTTTAGTGAAAAATAAGCCTTGATACTTCATCAGATATACAAAAGGGAGGAGTGGAAAAGTGCCACTAATAAATCATTTACATATTTGCAGATTACTTTAGCAACATAAGAGACATTCAAGTTTAAAGCTCAATCTTTGAGAATTCCATATTGAATGCAATAAAAGTTGGATTTCATTCCTGTGTGCAACAAAACTTACTAATGTTCCTTCATCTTTACCTAAAGATTCTGTACAGCTGTTCCCAAGTTCCCATTTTAGAGCTATTTGTGTCACAATCCTTGAGACTTAAGAATCTGTTCAGGTAAATAAATTTTTCCCAGTGAACGTTATGTGTAGAACAACATAAGCACTGTTGTCTTTTTCTGACAGTGAATTAAAATCAGGTCATGTGGAAGAGGAGAAGCCACACTGAATTTCTACTATACAGGGTAACTCTGTTATAACGTGTGAGTTTTTCCACACTCTTTTTTTCCCAGCATGACTTTTTCTTTAATTGTCCAAAAAAGGAAGCGGTGGAGTTCTGAAAACTGATTTCCCATATCTTAGCAGCAGCAACAGCCATGCCAGACTTTGACAGCAGCAGTTGAGTACATAGGCCCTTTACCTTTAAACTAATACTTCAATCATCAGCTCTTACCCTGTTCGGTCCATTACCCTCCACTAAAAATGCCTGTGCATGCCTATAATCCCAGTGCTGGAGATGCTGAGATGGGGATCACTATGAGTCTGAGCTGCATAGTGAGACCCTATACCAAATACATAAATAAATGAATAAAATAAAAATGCCTGTGACTTCTGGGGATGTAAGGTAGCTTTTTGTTGTTTTAAATTTCTTTTGAATTCAGTAAGACTTTACTCTTTTTTTCTATTGGTTGTTGGAAATCAAATTCAGTATGGATAAAAGAGGGAAATATCAACACTGAATTTGGAAGAGAAAATGAGGATTCTAAGTAGGATTGAAGCTGGATGATCTCTTAAAAATGCAATGGATGAAATTGGAATCAGTAAATCAACATTTTATGACATTAAAAATAAATTGATTTTAGGGGGCTGGGGAGATGGCTCAGCGGAATAAGTGCTTTCCTGGCAAGCGCAAGGGCCTCAGTTCAATCCCCGGTTCTGCAAAAAAAAAAAAAAAAAATTGATTTTAGACTCTGTACTGAAGCAGGACATGCCATTAATAGGAGCTGAGAAGAGAAAGAGGACAATGGGAGCCAAATACAGTAATGCAGTCTACATGTGGTACCAAGAGAAATGCTCAGCTAGTGTCCTTGATAGAGGTGTGGAGCTTCAGGCTGCTGCAGAGATTCACAGTTTTGGGCAAACAGATTTTAAAGCTAGCACTGGCTGGCTTTTACATTTTGAAATAGGCACACAATTGAAACCAAAAAGTATGTGCAGAAAAAGTCCTAACCTTCAAAAAACATTGATCAGGGGCCGGGGTGATGGCTCAGTGGAATAAGCACTTCCCTGGCAAGTGCAAGAGCCTGAGTTCAATCCCCGGTTCCACGAAAAAAAACCAAAAAACAAAACATTGATCTATTTAGACAGAAA